CGAAAACCTGGCGACCCGGCGACCAGTAATAGTTATTGTATTTGCTATTCACACGGGAGTCCGATATGTTGATCGGCAGCGTCGTCGAAGCAACGTTGATTTTCAGAGATGCGAAAGACGTCTTATCGTGTGTGTTGACTTTAAAAATTATTTGAACGCGCGCAGAGAAAGAATACCGCCCGACACGATGGGGCCGCTTAATTGAATCCCAATAAGCGTTTAAGTTTTGTTGTTATTGTAATTAGTGAAATTGCGATGGGAAAATGACCACAGGATTAATAATTATCCTTTGTAGTTTATATTTAAATTAATAGATGTCGTTAGATGTTTAATTTTTTAGTAAAAATTTAAAAAAAAATTTTGACTTAAAAATGCGTTTTTTGCGTTTGTAATTTAAAAGTGTCAACATTTACAAGACACATTTTATTCGGATTGTCACTTGCGCAATGGAAATTTGTCAAGCGTTAATATTTATCTAATACACGCTCGCAGAATGTAGAATGTAAGAATAGAGAATTAGTTTCTTCGTTGTTGGTTGTTGGTAGGTACGCTCATTTCATTTATCGCTCACAACTTTTCAACGTATGACATTTCGCTGCCGTTTTTCCATTTATGGCACGACGTACGTAGGTTTTTCATTCAACAAATCTCCGCGTCGTCGACGCCGTCGATTATTACTTACCAGCCGAGGTGAAGTCAAGCCAGCCGCATAAAGAACGTTAGATATTGACACGTCACATCGACTCTTCGGCGAACAACGAAACGAAAGCCATTCAAGAGTTGCATTCGCCGTTCGTTGGACGCGCGAAGTCAAGATATCTGCATGCGATAACCATTAACATTTATAAACATGCGCTATTTAAATTGCAAATTTCAATTGGAAATAAATGATTGCCGCTTCAATTGGTTTTCAATTGGTAGGAAAATGGCGCGCGCGTACGCACGAAAAAAGAAGAACGAATACGCAGCAGCAGTCGCGAATCAATTATCGCTTGAATTATTGATCGAATTAAGATATCACTAATTATTTTCCCTTATTCGTTTCAAATGCTTTAATTGGCTTGAACACCGCCTTTCTCTAAAGCCAATCCATTGAGCGCTAGCGGAAAAATTCAAGCTTGGGAAAATAATTGATTACTCCGCTCAATGGAGAGTGAAATTGCTTTAATTCAAATTCACGACTTGTTATCAAAACTTAATTTAAAAACATACGGCTTTTCATTATAGAAGTAAGTGTTCCTAGGAAAAAGCTGCCACTTAAAAAGGCATGGGTGAATCATCTTCAACGCGCATCTACTGAAACTACTGAATGAATGATCCTGCGACCGATATGACTGCATACAAGAAAAACTTAACGAGAACAATTCCTTAAAAAGCCGTACGGCGCAGAGCAGTTGACGATTGACTGACCACACTGTGATGAGTGTGACTGCTGATAGGAGACGCACATTAGATGGAACGATAGAGCACGTGTGGAAGGTGGAAGAGAAGCCGGGGACCCGGTGTGGATAAATGTCCAGTTTGTGTTACTTCACGACGTGCTCGTTCCCAAACAGTAGTCGCAATAAAGTACGGAATTGTGATACCGAGCGCGAGATTAATGCCGGCGTGCCGTTGCTATTGTGTCGCCGTGCGCTCCATGCTCCATGCGCTGATAACCGATAAGGTTTTTGATATAACAAGCGCACGTACGGCCAGCGCCGTACAGGTAGTACATGTCGAATTGAAGGTTGCGCCTTGTTTGTAACTACCTGCAGCGGCAACACTGATATCTCAGATTTTAAGAACAACAAACTCGAAATGAAAATACTACAACGCAAAATGCGTAAGCACCCAAGCACATGAAATCCAAGCTGACAGCTTGTTATATTTGTCTATTACTTATTGACCAAAGTGTGAATCGAATAAAAAGCAGCGACTTGTAGCTGAGTCACTCTAATCGCATCTTTCTTCATGTGTGGGCTCAACGCTGATCGTTATTGTATTATGGTCTTATAGTCTTCGCCAATGATCGGTAATGTGTTGATATTTGCGTTGCGCGTGTATGTAGCATGCATTTATAATGATGTTGTTGTGGTTCATAATAATTAATGTTGTGGGTAGCTCTTGATTATATAGTCGTGTTGTTGCAAAATCTAATATGCCCGGCAAATCCAACACTGCGTAAAGGGGCAAAGCTCGGCTTGACTTGTAATGCCCGGTGCCTTGTTCTTCAACGTGAAACGTGAACTATGTTCTTTTGCCTCGCTTGTAGAAGAGAGGTAAGATGCGGATGGCTATCGTGGAGAGCTCGCGCCTCTTGCGCGCATTGTGTGTAGACGCACAGACGATTAGGAACTGGTTGGGACCGCACCTCCGGATAAATGTAAACGAGACACCACACACAACAACGGCGAACAACAACAATGAATGTGCAACTAAGACCTGACCAATACAAGAGAAAACTGAAATGTAACAATGATCGAGTCGGGTATGTTTTTAATTTTTATCTCGGTTTTTTTCGATTTTTTTCTCTGAGTGCAGAGGAATGAATAAGCAACAGAAATTGGAGAATCAGCACTACAGGTTTAACAACAACTGACACCCAAAGAAGGAGAGAAGCGCCCAGAGAAGACGAAGAATGGATGAATGAACTAAGCATAATGCGACGGAGAAAAATGTTTAATAATAGACATAATAGCCGGAGTTGAGTTTCAAACAAATGTTTGGTCACTTCTTGAATGGCGTCACAATTTATGATAAATATCGAGTGCGTTTCCATTGCGGGTCGAGGGTCCATTGTGATATTATGTATCCTGCTAATTGTAGTCTTATGTGCATCTTCGAAACATTCAATTAACTTTAGAGTCCATTGTTTGTGACTTTGACAGATGTTTGGTTAAAGATTTATAATTTCGTCATTGTGTATGTGCGCGCACACTTCCAGAAATGCAAATTTGACCAAATTATGAATGCTACCGCGCAAGACCAGCGGGGTATGCTAATGATATTTAAATCAACGTGGAAGGTTTTATATTTGTCGCCCTGCGTCGCGCTTTTAATGTCACCTGTTTGGCCGTTCCTCGCCGCTCTGAAAAATCGAGACATACGCGTAGGCTGTCACCCGAACCCGGCGCAGAAGGAATTCATGTACGAGTAGATTGCGGTTCAATCGTTCTCGCCTTTTGGTTGGCTTAAGTGTCCGATATATTACGACCTGGTTTCCCGTAGATTACAACTCCATAAATTCAATTTATATTCAACCGGAGTGTAAACCGAAGCAAAGCGCGAGCCAAGTGTTTGGTGATCGCCTTCGACGAGCAGAATGCGCATATAGTCGACGGTATTATTGCTTTCTTATTCTTAATACACACACAAAACACACTCACGTATAAATATATTAAAATGACACTGGCGTCTCTTCACGATTCATCTGTAATAACCTTTCGCTTTAGCAGCGAAAATTGTGTTTGAGAATAATTCTTCATTTGACTCGCGCGTTTCATTGATGAAACACACTTCGTTATGAATGAACCAAGACGGATTGCTCAAGAGTTCCATGCAACGCTGAGCAGCAGAAAACATTGAGGTAAACTTCGAGAAATCTACGCGCGCCTTATTTGTGTCGAGTAGGCAGGACTCAAATTATACATATGCCATTAGCATATCGGACGATAATCACCTCTTCGGATAATATGCGCGCGTGCGTGTATTCTTTTCCAAACACACACGCAGCTTAAAAATAATTTCGGAAATTGTGAGGAAATAAAACTGACGATCACCTATATAATTAACATGGAAGTGGCTTTATTCAATTTCGAAATGTTTCATTCATGCATGGCGAAAAAGAAAGTAAAATAAACGCGTCAAATGTAGCCACAGAGCACAACCAGAGAGACCAACAACCATTCATAAAACCGTTTCACGTTCAGCCCACGCGCGCGCCTCGTAAGTACCATTCTAGTACTTGTAAGTACATTCTGATGTACGCTTCTATAACCAAATACAAGCCTTGCAAGTTTTCCTGTACGGCAAATAGGTACCTATGGTCGGAGGACTAGAAAAATAGGAAGTGAAGTTATACGTTATTTACCAATGTGATGGTATGAGATGACTCGGCGATATCACAGTTTGCTTACTTCTTATTTTAATTCTCTGCCCAGACGATGAAGGAAGGCTTGGCTAAGGTGGAGCACGCGCTAACAGGATTATGACGTCATGTGTAGGATGTCCATTTGTTGCCCTGTTAATTATTCTCCGATTTTATTTATTAATAAATCATTTAGTTGTAAATGTAATTTTAATACTGCTGGCCTAAATTTCCACATGACGCAATGTTGTATTATTACACACGCACTTACCATTGTTGTAAAATTGAAGAAGGTGCATCATAGACTTTGACATTCATGGTGCATCATATTAATTCACAACTTTCAAATGTCAGCAGGAATAGAATTATTATTACCTGTTTTACAAAATAAAAATTAAAAACACATTTTGTTAAGTTTTAATCATTTACTTGTGATATAACACATTTTATTTGCATTTCTCAGTTTTCCATTCGCATTTGATACAAGTATGTATAATTAAACCCTCTTTCGCTACATGTATTCAAATATCACATTCACAAAAATACAAAAGACAGCCTCAATGAGTCGAATGTGTGTGTATGCTCTCCACCTGTTTCCGCCACGTTGACGTTGATCGAAGTATTTGTAGATCGATGCACGATGAAATATTGAATTAGGTAATCATTGATTCAATATCATATATATCTGGATTAAATAGGTAACATTTATGAATATAAAAAATACATTATATATAAATAGAGGTGCATCCTGCAAAAACATCCCTCAATCCGGGCGTTTATCCATCAAATTTTGTAATTGTCAACAGCTACGATAGTTTTTTTGTTTGGTTTGGTTTTCAAATGGAATTTGTTATGGGGATAAAGACAATCGTGTAGACGTTAGTTCGGGGTCCCACGTACAACAATAATTATGACAACAATCGTTAGGACATAGTGTTCAACAATATTATTTTCATTATCTTTTGCTTCATATCGCCATAAAATATTTTTTACAATTAGTTCATCACATCATCATAGTCCATATAGGTGACCATTATGACAATTAAAAGTAGTTTTAGGGTTTTCTTTCTTTCTTTCATTATTTTATATACCAAAGGTCATTGTTTTAAATTAAAAATAATACTATGTACAATATTACAATATTTATAATCAAATGTTTATAACATTTCTTGTTTTATCTCATCATAAAGATTTTTTTATGTACACTCATAACATGCACACGTAACAAAATCGCTTCACAAATGTTCGAGTATATGATTTAGGCCTTCGAAGTCATCATTTTTGTGTGATTAGTAGAAAAGCTCAGCTAAACAAGTAAATTGTTGGTGATCAGAGTTTAGTAAAAACAGAGAGCGTTTTGTGTCAAATGTAAATTTTCTGTCTGGTTTTGTGCTCTTCACATTCTACAATTTTTTTCAGTTTGTTTGTTTAATTGGAGGCATTTAGCGTTGGTAACTTTGCTGTTAAAATATCTCTTGAGCCTCGTCCTCACGTCGCTTCACAAAAGACACATGATTTAAGGCAAAAATTTCATTTTTCTACCCTTGATTCCAACGTATTTTTGGAAAAGTACATTTAGCAGTTTCAAAACGTTTGAAATTTGTCCCTGACTGTTCCACCAATTAACAATTGTATGCGAAAATTTTTAATACTGCAAGATATGTATGTTTTGTTATAATTTGCGTGCCTTTTGTCTGAGACATTAAAATAGTTTCTTTATAAATAATAAAAAATAGTTAATAAAAAACAGGAACCCATATTTCTATAAACTCGTGACATTCATTGACTATTTTCATCTACGTAACATTTACTTTCTGCGCTATATATGAATTATTGACAAGTGCTCTTCGATTCGATCAAAAACTGAAATTCTATATGGAAAATTAGCTTTTACATTATCACAAGCCATATTAAGATTTTGATTCGTTAAATACAAAAAAAAAAAGTTGCATCTTTCCGGTGTGAAATGTCCAACAATATAACTTCTAATAACATTTGTTAATTAAACTAGTACGGAATGTAATGTCATGCACCAAAAATATGAAAACAATCATTTTTAAATCTCTATAATGTTATTTGGCAACAATTTTTTAGATTATATTAATTTCTCAATAAAATAATAAACAATTTATTATCAAGTAAAGTTATTCGTATTATTAAATAATTAAAGCCGTTTTGTTAAGGTTTTCGTTTCTATTCGCTAAAATTCATTCGTCATCTAAAACCCTTTTCATTTGTGCATGTTCCACGATAAAATATTAGACACATCAACAACAATGTTCAATCAATATTTATGTATGTAGAAAACACGTCCAGATTAATTTTTAATTAATTCTTTGCTTCTTCTGCTTGCATCTAATTGGCCTAACAATTACAAATCTTAGAAAATGTTCTGCTCGTAGTTTATTCTGATGATTGCCTAAGCTCCCTATTTGCTTATCTTGTTTAATACCTGTGTCAGTCTACAAAAAGAACTGGCTTTTTGTCACCTCCCTGCTAACGTCTCCTACTTTATTATAACAATATGGCAACAACAAATCGATTCGTCATTCTCTATCTAGAATTTGTGTGTTTGTTTCTCGGGGTTCCAATTCGACGCAAATTACAAATGGCACACGATACGGGCGCACTAAGGCCAGTCACTTATATACTCATATAACTTTACCACACAACAAAGTACGAAGAGATCAATGGGGTTTCTTTTATCAGGTCGCGCAATATACCACATTGCCACACCTGCCTTTGTGTTTTCTTCTTCGCGAAAAAAATACCAAAGGTCAAGGAGATAATGTTGACTTTGTGTTGAAGGGAAGTAATTAATGCATTAAGTGATTCACTAAATTGAGATGGACGCGACTTACTTGCGTGTTTGTCTTTGCGCGTGGCGTTTAACACTGTCATATGCATTCGCGATGCTTTTTACTCGATGCGCACGTAAATCAGCCGAGCGCTCTCGGTGTCGAGATCACAGTCGTCGCGGATGAAGAGAACACATTCGCCGGGTGCCAGCTCGGCGGTGGGCAATTCTCACAGGGTCGTAGTCACCACGGGCAACGCAAGGCCGCCATCATCGCTGGTCATCGAATGCATGTGATGTTGTTGATGGGGCAACATGTGATGGTGATGATGTTGGGGTTGTTGTTGTTGCTGCGACGCCTGTTGCTGTTGTTGCTGCTGTTGCTGTTGTTGTTGTTGTGCGTTCATCTTGTTCTCTTTCTTAATGCGCTGTTTGAGATGCACCTTGGCATGTCGCTTCTTCTCATCACTACGCGCAAATTTCCTTCCACACACATCGCACGAGAATGGCTTCTCGCCGGTGTGTGTGCGTATATGCGTCGTGAGATGATCAGAGCGAGAAAACGAGCGCATGCAGATGCGACACTGGAACGGTTTTTGCCCGGTGTGGATGCGTATGTGCCGGGTGAGCTCGTCGGAGCGCGAAAAGCGGCGGTCGCAGTTTTCCACGGGGCATGCGTACGGCCGCTCGTGGACCGGTGTCTTGCTGGGTCGATTCGGGTACTTGCGCGGCTTCACCGGCACCAACTTGAGCGGAATCGGCGACTGCTGATAGACTTGTGAAAGGATCTCGTGACCTTTACTTGTTGAAGGATTGTACTCAGCTAACGCGACGCTGTACCCGGTCGAGCCCTGTTGATTTAAGTCACCCGCGCAACCGGAGCTAAAGGGTTCCTGCTTGGGAATAAGCGGTGAAGCACCTGGGACAATCAAAGTACTTGTCACCTGTGGAGTGTACTCTTGCGTGTCCCATTGATACTTCCCGGTGCTTGCCACAAGAGGTTGACCTACTCGCGAATACACCAAATCCTGCTGCATGTCTAATTGAAGTGAGGTCGCAGTGGAGCAACTCGTATATGAGGGTGGGGGTTGTTTGAGGGCAATATTCGTACTGCACTCCATGCTCAGCATCAGCTGGTCAGTCTGAGAGCGATCATCATATTGCGTGCCAGCAGGACTCGGCGTTGTCGAGTGATACTGCTGTTGTTGTTGCGGTTGCTGCTGCGGTTGCTGTGGCGATTGTGCCGCACCACTCTGTCCCAACAAACCGTACATTGCAGGATACAGTGGTTTATCGCCGGCCGATAAAAGCCATGGATTGACCGCCGAAGGAGAGTGCATATCCTGGTTTGACATCCCCAGCGGACTACCCATCTGCATGTTACCCGCCAGACTCGGACTGGGCTCGGACGTATACACCGTGTTTCGGTGCAGCATTTTCGCGCCGTTATTGTGATTGTTACTATACATGCTGCTGAGTGTGCTGCCGTTGGTGGCGTCCTCCTCGTGCATGCCAGGACTAATCGCACTCTCCTGCGGGGTGCCGCGCTCGCCTACCTGGCTACAGACGCTCGGCGAGTGCCGTGCCGGACTGCTCGTCTGCTCCAGCGATAATTCTTCGGTATCCAACGAACCTGCAATGAAAAATTCAGAATACCGCTTAGAAAAGTCCGCCCGTTTATTTCCGTCCCAAATAGAAATCAATAATGGATGCGCATTTCCTATAGTTCTTATTCCGACGCGTGTTTCATTCAGCAGTATCATTCTGAATGGAACAAGTTATTGATCGGTTGTTTTTTGCGTTGCGATAGGTCCGCACGTCGGCGCCGTCAACGCCCGGAAGGCGTGCGCGGAAAACTTGTTGATTTTCGCATTATCTCTATTTTCCCGCAGCGTATTGTGCACTAGGTCGTGCGTGGTTAGTTATAGTTTACGCTTGCCTTTGACTATAAAATCGATTCGATCGGTACTGCCGCGAAATGACGTAAGTGAAGTTAGTCGACCGGCCGTCGGATCACGGTTCCGCAATTTTGAAGCCCAGTTTTCCCACAAAATTTGACAAGGGTGGTTTTTAGTGGTCGAAGTACTCACCAGTAATCGGTGGTGGTTCGACGACGGTGGACGGTCCAAAAAACGACGGAATGTCGCTGGACGTCGTCACCGGGGTATTGAGATCGCCGGGTTGCGGCTCGGAGGGAATCGGCTCCTCAATGGCGGAGCAAGTTACCGCCGGCACGGGGCTGCCGCCGCTTTCGACCACGCTGCCGGTGCCCTTATAGAGACACGTGTCGAAGCTGAGCACGTTGAAGTGGTGCGCGGCGGCCGCCGCCGCCGACTCGGTGATGAGGAACGCCGAAGCGTGATGATGATGATGGTGCTGGGGAGGCAGCGTGTCCAAGCCGTCCATGATCATCGTGGCCGCCGGATTCGGGAGACTCGCCGCCGGCGTCGTCCCGCCTATCGCAACAGAACAAGCAGGACTTGTAGCGCCCGTTTGCACCACACTCAAATCGCGCTTGTCGCCACTCGTCTCGACCGAGGGGTGAGCTTTGAAACAAAACAACAACCACGCGCACCCACAAACAAGTTGAGTAGAAGAACCACCCGGACGCGTATTGCGTCTTCGCGCGGCGCAAAGTGCGGAGGCGCACACGGTCAAGGATGTGTGTTCGTCTCGGGTGTGTTGCTAGTGTGACCGGCCGGTACAACGATCGTTCGAAAACTGGTCGCGACGCGCAACGCGACTATACTTTTATGAATGGAGCATCTGTTCCATATTTGGAAGTCGCAATCAACACGACGGACCAATCCGCGCCCGCGACGCTCTCTCCGATGGGCCCCCGCTCCGCGGCCAGCCCCACCAAGTGGTCGCGAGTAGCGTGACGTCGGCGTGACGCAACGCGGCGCCTCGCGCTTCCACAAGACTATCTCCTCCACCACCTCCACCCGGCTCCTCGCGGGTCGATCGCCCCAAGGACGAACGCTTCCAAGAATCGGCTTCCATAAACATCCCTACTGGCTACACCCTTCAAAATAATGACCAGGGTCCTTGCTACCTGCTTCAGATATCCCCTCGCGACAGTCATAACAAGTTATTTGACTTCTGGAGTGGGCACGCGATGAAAATAGAAACTGGATGCAGTAAACTATCGTGGATTGCAACTCATGCGCTATTTTGGGCTACCGACAGCTGTTGCCTTCGATTACGCAGGGAATCATTGCCCGAAATATACCTACACGCCATCAGCTGGGCCCAACACGAATTCGTGATGTGTTACATTTTTACCCAACTGACTCACGGGTCTACGTGACGCCGGGAAAACGCGCAAACTTGCAATTACGTAACGCCGCTGAAAATATCGGAATCCACTGGAAGGATCGCTTCGTAAACACATACACATAATATAGACGTCAACGATTCGGTATATTTTTAAACCACGCGAATGTGCATGTGAACGCACGACAGGGTTAAAAATATCCTCCGTCTAGTACGCGTCTATTGTGTAAGTGCAATCGCGTTTCGTGTGGGCACGAAAGGAAAACAGAACGGCTAGCGCCAAACATTTCATTACACATCCGAGAAGCGCGTTTATAGTATAGTGCAGTGCGAGGAAAACAAGCATAGCACAACACCCCTCCATTTGCCCATCCGGCGTGATGGCCTTGGCGGTGGTGGAGGTGGCGATGTACGCAGTGACGTAAGTTCATTCATAGAGTTTCTCACCCGGGAACATTTTCCCGCCACCTTGCGTGTCCTTGGCCTCAGCTACCACACACACACACAGAGAACCACACAGACCGCGTGGAAGTGGAAAGGGGCGGAAAACGCGCACGACCCTTCAAGGACTTACAGCTTACCGCGTGACGCAGTCCGAGCGTAATCGACCCTCTGCAAACTGTGCGCTCCTGATACACGATTTCCGGCCTCGCGCCGAGTTTCCGCGTTTTCACAACTGCGTCACTTATCGCCATTGGCATACAATTAGCGCCAACGTGCGCATATGTCGGTGATTTTTTCTGTTCTTTGTTTTGAACGCAAAAAAGCAAACTAATACCGCCGCCATTGTGACGTTGCGAAAATGCGTTGGAAGTAAACCGTGTGGGTATCATACCATATGGATGCGATGGTAATATATGTTAACAGGCCTTGCCGTGTTTCAATAAAACATTCATTATGTAAGTTGGGCCCAACATGGTAATATTTAAATTGGCCGATAATTATAACAAAACAGTAGGTGTTCATTAAAGCAATCATAATTAAATTTCTGTTGCTTTAGATTTCGGCTGTGCTAGTTTATGGTCATATCCGGGTGTTGTTTAACAATTCGGACAAATTTGGCGTCGAGATGAAAATTTTCTTATATTATGTCGTATTTTTAGTTTATGTGTCACATTTACTGCGAGGTTATTTTAGCTTTCCGCGTGAAAACATCCCAAGCGTTAATTATCTCGTCATGGATACGTGCTGCTTGATTTTCATCTGTTTCTTTGGCTTCCGTACGCGGTAACACGTATATATGTAGCACGTGTCTAATTATACATTTAATGTCTTTTAAATTGAACTGCGGTTTTGTGGTCGTTGAAGAGAACAAGTTTGTATACCTGAACCTGAAGGTCCCGCAAACCAAAGCGCGACCAAATCATCCACGCTGGTCGTCGGCGGTGTATGATGGCCGTACCCGCCGTAGTAGTAAGGCGGCGCATTGGCGGCAAAGTCCAGAAGTCGTCCGCGGGGCGGCTCCGCACCACTCACCCCGTAGTTTCCGGCGCCGCCACGCGGATTCCTCGCTCGGGCAATCCCATTGCCAACCCCTCCGGCGCTGCCATCTAACAGCAGCTGTTGTACCTGCAGGATATCCACAAATTCGTCACCACTTGTTGCACTCTCGCGCGATCGCTGCCTGGCGTATCCGCTGCCGCCGCCGGCGTCATTCCGCACGTCCTCGTGTTCGCGGCGCATCGTGAGTGTTAACATGTTGATGGCGCGCCGCACCGCGAACCCTTGCACCCGCTGCGAGCATAACAATTCACTGGTAACTTGGACCACTTTGGGTTGTCGCCGTCGCACCACCACCAATGGTCACCACTTTGTACGCACAACAACTTGGGTCCGAGTAACGACGCGCTGCGAAACGGTCGCGGCATGAATGAACGCTCCTGCTCCGCGTGTTGTGCGCCGCAGGTACGGCCGTCGAGAGAAAACGCCAACACACTTTGTACGCCTCTGCTCAAAACGCGGGCAACAACGGTGACGTCAGTGGGTTCGTCACAGACATAAGGCAAGGTGGTCGCGTGAAGTATCTCCTGACCCTCTGTGCTCCAATACCCAACCATCACATCACCTCACATCCACCACACTTTTTGTTACATTGTCACAGGTCCTAGGCTATCTACAACTACCACAACTTGTCCGTTTCTATATTACCCACAGCGCCCACTAACTGGTAGTTCATTGGCGAAGTTTATAGCATCGTTATGCGATCAATTCTAAGCGCGCACCGGCGAGCGTCGACGAAAATATATGGCCGGTTGGGCCAGTGTTTCGGACACGCACAGCAGTCTCACGCCGTCACCGCGGCCGCCAGCCTGCCTTCCAACTCCTAGAAAGGCGGGAAAATTGTTATTCTTATGCGACGTGCACGCCGCTGTGATGTCATCGGCTCGTGCCGGCGCTGACTCTTTCGACTATTTATAAATCCACCAAGTGCGCGACGATTACGGACCATCTAGAATGTGTAATAGATCTCGTCGTGCCAATTTTTTCCATCTCAAACACTGCTTAGCAAATGTCTATGAAAAATGAAAACATCGGACATCAACCTAAAATCCGCATTTTTTCTCACCCACGCAACAAATTAATCCACAATGTAAACAACGCCGCGAAAATAAACACCGAATTGTATTTTTATTTCGCCGCGAAAATCCTAGCCTCCTCACCAACCAATACATTCTATATCTTGAATATTTATTGAACTTGAATATAAATGAACAACATATATTGCAAGGCAGTTTTATTTCATGCAATAAAACGGATTGTCTTTCTGCATTGTGCACCTAAAGGGAACATAAACAGCGTAGAAAGTATATATAGGCAATCGTTATTTACGAGTGACTTACTTTAATTATACGCCGGACATGTTTTATCACAATCCACCGCTGCACTTATTCTTATCATCTCGGTTACACTTTATGACTATTTCATTCATTTTCGTTCACAACATTAACTAGTTCCCTCGGCTGTGTGTACCTATCGGTCGAATACGCTTTTGGCCACTTGCGAAAATATCAAATTGCGTTCTACATCTGCAGAAAATGATTCGAAAATAACGATCGAATTTACTACGCGCGTCTGTGAGCAAGAACGGAACGAAACAGCGATAACACTCACAGATTAAACGTGTCTATCTATCTCGCAAACGGGAATGTGTTCCGGGAAGTCGCTTACTGAACAATTGATTAACGCGTCGAAATTTTTTGTTAAGTTTTTTCAATTTTCATAATTTTAATCGCTGTGTTGGCTTGCGTTCGCAAGATAAAACTGTTTAGTGTTTAGTTCTCGTTACATTGTCGGTCGCGAGAAGAAATTTTATTTATAAACGAATTTCGTGTGCGCGCATCATGCGCCGAGATATTTCTATCCTATTCAAATGTTTTCCTTGGCTTCTTGATACACATAACCATAAAGTACGCGCCATTTTCGACATTAACAGCAAATAAAAGCAAACAAATATTTTATCTGTGAATAGACACACGCGGCGAAGAAAAAAATTCTTCGCAGAATTTTACGGGTGATGATGTCTAGGAAAGATCGGTGTGCTAATTAAATATACAAGTTGCGCGGAGAATACCTCGCGCGGGGCTTATCACACCCTCGGAATAAATGTTTCGCCACTTCAACTTAAATTCAGGCGGCGCGCACACGTGCAATGAGTATTTCCACGAAGCAAAACGCACATCGGAAAGAAACGGCCGCGGAAGAACAATGGCATTGATTGTGTACGTGAGCGAAAAGTGTGTGAGTGTCGACGAGTAGTGCTCTAGTCGTGTGGACGGTGCAAAAAGACTTTTGCTGACAACAAGGCAACGCGCGCGTGAAATACCGCAGCCGAGCGGAATGGATGTGTAACGAATGATCGACTTCAGTTACTTACTTCTTGTTGGCGTTATTCGCGAAGTGTGTAGAAAGCGCCAACAAGAAGCTTGTTAATTGTCACTTCTTTCCACCACATGTCTTATCACAATCGATATAAGTCAATTAAAAGCTTTCCATTCAACTATTTCGTGTTTTAGTTAAAAATATAGAAATTGGAAAACAATTTCGGAGATATAAATAAAAATAAACGGCTTATGTTAGGAAAAATCCGAAAACATGTCGCGAAGTAACTTATTGCATTGCAACATCGAAACGATCTTTTTTTTTTTGGATTTTGAACGCGCGCCAGATATATTTATAAGTTTTCGTTGATTGTGCAGCCACTAGCCAGCAGGTTTATACACAAGATGCTAGAACACTATTATTCCAACACTCGAAACACAGAAAACAACAGAAAAAGTTGTGATATTTATAATTTCGATAAATATACGCATTCTCAAACTCATTTGAAATCGTTCAGGAATGTCGCATTCGCGTGTGTTACGACTCCGACTAATGAATTACATCAATCTGAGCTTTGATAAATTAACTCGAATGCAATTTCCGTGTGTTCTCATTTAGGCGCGCGGCATTTGTTCTCCCTCTGATGTAAACACTTAGCCAGGGCACGTGTGTATATATTACATCACGCGGTGTGCAGCTAACTGGACGTTGATGCAGTGCTTATAATTCGCTATATTTTAGCCGGACTGATATTGGATTGACAACTCCGAGCAATGCATTTCTATTCTGTATAGGAGCAGCTAAGATATTGGCTGTTTTGAGAAGCAGTGCGGCTTATCGCTGACTGGCCCAGATTGTCAATTGGAGGGAACACCTTGTGTATTAGATGGAAGTGCTCTCTGGGTATATCGGTGCATTAGTTTTATAGACCCGGAGAGATTTATGGCGGACACGTCGCGTACATTCTATACGATTTCTCTCATTCCCGACTTCCCCATACATAATTCTTCTAATAAATAAAAGTTTACATTTAAAGTACCCAATTACATTTCTAACATTACAATTAATTAATTGTCAGCGGAGCGATAGTAATTGGAAATTGTGAAATTGTACAGTTCCACATAACCTCAACCATAGCAAACAACTCAACTACGACGTTTTTTATTTTACAATTTTTGTATTTTTTTCTACTTACACTTTTAAAGCGATAGTTTTTTCATAGTTTGGGGTTAGAAAAAGTAGTAATTTAAACACAGACGCCATAGGCCATGATTATAATACTTTAGCCACGGATTTTAGTCACGGGGTGAAGCTTGCGCTTATAACTTTACATTTCCCAGTAGTGAGCGAGCAAATTTTGAAGATTTAAAATACAAAAGTTCAAATACAAAAACCTCAACGTGGAAATAGAGTAGAAGTAGAAAAAATAGTGTAAGCAACACATGACTAAACAATATTAAACACTCGATTGATTAAACGCTTGTGGCTAAAACTCCCGTTTAGTTACTTGATATTTAATATACTATTAAAATGTGTTATACATAACCTCAATCATAGTAAACAACTCAATTCTGACGTTGCTTTTTAAATTTTTGAATTTTTTATACTTTTATGTTTGTTTTGCATATGAATTTTGTTACCATGAGGTTTTGTTTCGACTCGTAGAACCGTTGGTTCTTTTTTCGTTTGTAATGATGTATTGTAATAACATTTTTCTGCCTTGGGTGTCTACCTTTCTATAATTATAGATTTATGAGCTGCGAGCGCATTTAAAATCGGTAATATTTTGAGGAAGTGTTGTTTCCATGCTCGCCGCTGCAACATCATGCTCATAGGCATCGGTTTTCCATCGCGCCTTCGTTATATCTGTAAATTATCGCGGCCGATAAACTTCCACGAGCATTAGATCGAAACGAATCTTTTTCTTTCCACACTCTCCGCAGTCAGACGGGCGAAAAGCGCTCGGAGTCAATTCGATGCGCGAGAATTATTCGTTGCGTTATAAAGCCTCGGTGCGAATGATCTAAGCAAGTAAGGTGTAAGTATAATAAGTACAATAACGACTGAAATAAGAGTAACAATATTTTCATGCCTCGGGATTCATTTTTCATCGCAAAATTGCTTGAAATTGCAAATTTATCGCATTATAAACTTGAACCCAGCTGGAAATAAAACCAAAAACTGATCGAATTAAGAAATTACGTTCACACATCACATGATATAGATTAGAATGTTTGTCACGTGCTTCAAATCGGCTCGCTTGCACCAATTAAGCTGTAGCCACGAAACAATCCGTCCGGCTAATAAGGAATGACTAATGAGTAACGCTCGAGCGGCGAAGGCATCGAACCAACGAAGTTGTCCATCACCATCGCCGAAAATACACACACACACGCCGATGGAGAAGAGTTAACCGATCGTACCTGAGTGACTCTTGTCCAAATACGGATAAACGTTGCGTCCATCCAGTCCTCACTCCTCTCGTTAATGGTTTCGAGTGGTGATGAGTTCTGCCAGCCCCAGGGCAAATATTATTTATAACCAAGACGATATTACACAAAAAGCGCGCTAGCGCAAACTGCTTTGTTTTTCGAATTTCTTTCTTCCTCTTTCCTACTTCGCAACACAACATCACAAGTGTGGAGTACTTGCAATTATATGTAAAACCCGAACCGCGTTTACGATGCTCTTCTAATTATTGAGCCAAACAACGCATATGTAAATCATCGCATTATACTTGTAATGCGTTGATACGTTAAGACCGTAATCAATTACACGATTGTCAGACGAGACTAGACGAGTGCGTTAGATGCGTTTATTTTTACGACCTGTCGTCGCAAACTAGCGACTGGAAAAGCAAACATCAATTAGTGGTGAACAGGTGTGTTCGGTGATCGGATCATGTACAGTGCGAATATCACACTTTTGTATTGACGCCGGAGATGATAATTGAAGTTCGAACCACTTTTGTGAATATTTTACGGTCTATCGTAAAATATAACAGTGCACAGCATCATTTAGGGTTGGCTGTGTTTTCGTTTTATTTACTTTTGATATTCTTCGCATGCAAATTTTCTATACACAACACTCGATGCGTCCGGGCGAACCAGCGGAATGTCATAAAAAATCGAATAAAACAAGTCCAAACAAATTGTTGCTTTTTGAACAAATCGATATCAACTTCGTCAGCTTTTCAAAATGTAAATATTCGTTGGTATTGTTGAATTTATTGCATCACATTAAAACGTTACACGCTCGGATATGTTTTATAAATGTTTTTTTCGGTGATTTATGTTTATAATATAATATTTCCATCAAGTTATCCAAACGCCCCATAACGGCACTATCAGCACGATTACGATTATCGTAATAAGAATATTTATGCGCAAATCATACGTTTACAACCTTTAAACAAATATGTGCACAAATATATACGTTTTGTGACCAGCCTGGGGCTGTATACAGATCTGTTTCACTTCCTGCTTGTCTGAACCACAAATGTCCGAAAGATTTCGCGCGGAAAAAATGAGATCTTCTAATTATTTTCGATATATTAGTCTAT